ACGAAGAGCTTCCATTCTAAATAGACAGTGATAGAGAGTGAGAGCTGCCTCTATATGACTGTAGAACAAGGTAAGCATGCAATCCACATATTCCATTTCCATCATCCCAGAAAAGGTCCTCTTCAGGCAGCAGTGTGCTGCTAGATAGTCACCAACCAGCCCTCTCAGAAAACAATCTATGCATGTATGTGTGAGAGTACTTTTACGATAAATTTTACCCATGTAAAAGAGATAGGACGCACAATTTACAAATAACAATAAAATACACAATACTCTTTACTGAAAATTCCATACAGTCAACTGATGCTCAAAGAATGCTTCTGTTGATTTTCACCAAGCTCTTGCATCTGTAGCCAATCTACTGTTGCAAGTGATCAACAAGTATAGTTCCGACATGAATGCTGAAGTTTTTGCTTACGTTGATGAGTGAGACAAACATGAAACAACTTCTTTATATGTAGAAACTTCACTTGGATAAATCGGATAGCAGTTGTCAAATAATGGGAGAATATTCCCCAAGTTTTTGTGCTATGCACAATGTAACAGCTACAGACACAACAACTTTTAATCTGTACTATTAACATTTTTCCATCACTTTCTTAAGTCTAGATAATCAGCAAAACCATCAATCAAGTCCTAATTTGTAGTATGTGCTGATTTCCATAGTGTAAATAGTCCTATCACAGCTCATTTCAAGCTACTAACGTGATGTTGCTGAACAAAGTTGGCAAGGGAGGCAGAGCAGTTCATGTAATTTAAGTATTTCCACCTTATGGGTACAATAAGCATAAATAACCTCTAGAATAAAGATAATAAAATATAGTAAAATGATTGGGAACTGATGAATTTTGAGTATTTGTTACTTTTGTTTTTGATATAATTTAATTGTAAGATATAGAATTTTTAATGATTGCTGTGTTTAACAACCTGAAATTTTAAAACGAGCCAGCACACTCCTGCTTCAAAATCTCTTATTTGTTAACATGTCAGGAAAGGAAAGCTTGGACCCAGAGGGGAGACCGGAAGGAGAAGGCACTTGGTCATGTGTTCCCATTTCAGGAGTTCACTGCTACGAGTGACAGCTATCAGGCAACCAGAAACCACACCCGATTCCTGCCCAAGCGCTTATAACTACGGCTCAAACCAGGCTTTTTTCCAAAAATGTTTTTAATTCCAGCATCCATCATGATGGCTTACTGTAGACTAATTTAGCCAGTAGCTGTTATACTAAAAATGGAAGCTAATGATTTCAGCTAAAAACAACTAAGCCGATGCTATCAAAGTATATTGTAAGAAACTGATTGTCATGGCCGCATTTGTTTTCCACTTCCTCTTCTCTGTAGAAAGGCTTAATAAGATTCCCACAGTGAAAGCAAAAGCATTTCCTCCTCTCCGGGGACCCCAGATTAGCAGCGTGTTCCCTTGAGGGCACCCACCTCCCAGAGGTCTTCTAAGACTCACTGCACGCAGGGAGTGGAGGTCCCACTAGGCAGGACCACCCGCTATGGCTCATCACGTTAGTGCCATTCAGCAAACGTTGGCAGCATCAACCTATTTCTCTTGAGCACTCACCCGCAATCACCACTCCGCTCGGTGCCATATTGTTCCGCACACTTTATACTTTCCGAAATAAGTGCATTTTGAAAAGAAACATGAGTTTTAAGACAAAGATCATATAATAGCCATACAATTGTCTGCCTGGAAGGAATTTTGCAAAAAAAAATCAAGTTTTTGGGGTCGGCCTGGTAGCATAGTGGTTAAGTTTGCACGCTCCACTTCAACAGCCTGGGAACCGCAGGTCTGGACTCCAGGTGCAGACTACATACCACTCATCAAGCCATGCTGTGGCGGTGTCCTCTATATGAAATAAAGAAAGACTGGCACAGATGTTAGCCCAGTGACCACCAAAAAAAAAACAAAACAGGTTTCCAGGTGCCACTGTTTGTATTAGCAAGGAATGTTAGAAGGCAAGCATGTGAAACTTCAATATAAGTATGACACGATTAAATTTCTGTATGTGTGTGAGGAAGATTGGCCCTGAGCTAACATCTGCCACCAATCCTCCTCTTTTTGCTGAGGAAGACTGGCCCTGAGCTAACATCTGTGCCCATCTTCCTCTACTTTATATGTGGGATGCCTGCCACAGCATGGCTTGACGAGCAGTGCTAGGTCTGTGCCCGGGATCTGAACCTGTGAACTCCAGGCCACTAAAGCAGAGAATATGAACTGAATCACTACACCACCAGGCCAGCCCCAATTAAATATGTTAACTGGCAATGATTCAAGAAGAATTCAGGTTTCTTGAGCCATTCAATATTCAGATTTAATCCACTGATGTATGTACCCTGAGATCTTACAACGCTAGTTTCCATAAAATGAAATCTCAGTGTCATAGAAAGCTATCTGGACTGAAGGGGCTTCTTAACAAAGAAATCTCAACTATTAAGCAGTTAGAACAAACTCCTAGAAATAATATTAACAAAGTCTTTCTGGGGCACAACCATGATTAAATGTCTCTAATTTTATGATTCTTAGAAATAATAAATGATTAGCTTTTGTCTTCATCAAGGATTTCCATATTACTGAGAAATTGAGGGGGCTGCCCCTTGGCCAAATGGTTAGTTTCAAACACTCTGCTTCAGTGGCCCAGGTTTGAGGGTTCAGATCCCAGGTGCAGACTTTCCACTCATCAGCCATGCTGTGGAGGCATCCCACATACAAAGTGGAGGAAGATTGGCACAGATGTTAGCTCAGGGCTAATCTTCCTCAAACGCAAAAAAAAAAAAAAAAGAGGGTTGGCAATGGATGTTAGCTCTGGAAAATCTTCTTCAGCAAAAAAAAAAAAAGACTGAGAAATTGAATGATCTGAATTTAGGGCACTAGTTTTGGTGTCAATTCAGAATTTTCTTTTTCCCGCTTGTGACATCTCAATGAATTTCCCATTTCCAGCTAACGTTGGGAAGCATGTTCCTGGGCCATCTTCAGGATTCTGACAGAAGGGTTTTTACAGGCTAGGTTAAGAGCCTAGAAATGAGGTGCTAAGGACAGGGTCAGAGGCTCCAGCCTTATGCACCTGGGCATGCACACACACACACACAGACGTTAGTTCTTTCTTATGGCTGCCAGCTTTAAATTCTGCCCTCCAGCTAGAGCGACACAATTTGGCCCCCTACACCTTCCCCACCTAACCCCAGCGTGGCGGAGTGAGCACAGCAGGGTTCCTAGGACTGCAGCTCCACGTGGCTAACTACACTCTGGGACCGGTCTCACTGTGGCCTCTACTCAGCCGTGAGGGCTGACCCTCGGGGTATAATACCATATTGTGGATAAACACAATGGCATCAGATTGAGCAAACGATCTCTCTTGCATACTTTAAATTAGGATTTCTTGAATTAAATACCCAATTTATGAGAACAGGTTAGCTGAAGGGAAAAAAAGTGCAGCAACTTTATTCTGAGACTCACCTCAACAAATCAGTGTATTTTTCCCAAAAAGAAATCAACAAAAAAAAAAAGAAAGAAAATGTATTTATGCATTTTTAAGATCAGCTGAATACATAAACGACCTAACGTAAATTTAGATTTGTTAATATAATATGCCTTCTGACAGGCTTAGTTTGGGCCACTTGGAGCGGAAAATCCACCTTCTGTTCATACCTACATAACCACCAGTGTCCAAATAATTTCAGCCATAAAGAAAAACTTAACAGAATCCTAGAGAAATATTACATTCTGCTCATGGGATTACTTGAGCAAGGATGGGTACTTTGAGGTATTACCAGGAAATTAACAGACATTTACTACTTAGTCAGCACCAACAAGCCACTGACAGACATTTAAAGGGAAGAGCTCCCTCCTGCCGAGCTAGTCATACAGGGACCTGGGCCTCCTAATAACCCTGACGGCTACACTGCCTAGCATCACAGCTCCTGCAAGCTAAGTTGACTCACGAGTTCAAGCCAGGTCTGTCCGGGAGTGCCGCCTGAAGAAACTGCCAGCAGTGAGAGCTGACGACCAGGGCAAACTTTTGTATTTCAAAGTCGACAAACAGGACAACAATTCTCAAGACTATTAGCTCTAAAAAGAGCAATCATTGATTTCTGCCCTACCAAAGGCTACCTCGTGTACGACCCTTACCCATCTTTGGTTACTAACAGGCAGAAGTGACACTTATGAGAACAAGAAATGCCATGGACAGTGATCCCAATAAATCCCCCTTTGCCTCTCACTACAAAGGCTGATCTGGTCCCAACTCAGAATCAAGGATATCATTCCAGACAGCTCAGTCACGTTGATCAGGAAGTTTCCTTAGCAAATGAGGGGTGTCAGATACCCTAGAAAGAACTTAATTGTAGTTTTCTGCAAATTCTCCAAAATAATGTATACTCAACTTTAAAACAGTTGGAGTGAAGCAAGCCCTCAGCAAATTTCCTGGAGGAGGGACAATGGCTGCAAGCATAACCCGCCCTCTGGCATCACGCCACTAACCCAGAGAATTCACTGCACTGAGTGACCGGACAGTCAAAGTCCACTGGAACCTACTCCCCAAAACATGAAAGAAACGGATAGAGGAAAATTCTAAACAACTATCTATGCCTTGTACCTTTCTCTGGAAACACAATCTACTAATAAGAAAAGCAATTTGAAAAAATAAAAAGTAGATGCTACTCCAATTTCAGAGCCGTTCTCAGTGTAGGAAAACTATTAATGAAAGTGGATGGCATGGCTCTTTTCTTGTATTACAAAGTAAGTTCCTGTTTAACAACTTTTATTATTAACTAATTTAGATTAGTTTTTCTGTTTAACAGAGAGCATGAATCATGCCGGTTAAAACCTTAATGACGTCATATCTATTAACACAGCGAATTCCGAATACAGAAGATCTATGGCTCCTCTAATACGCCCACTTTATGCACTAGCGTTAAAAAATCAAAGAAATGCTCTTTTGAGGAACAAAGTTTTAGGCAATGAGGAAAGAGAAAGTAACCATTACAGACTCATTATGGATCCATCAGAGACTTTTTAATCCATTCAAACCCAAGCATGGAAGATCAGATTCTGATCCTGCAGTACTTGTACATTTTGGAACACCTTTTCACTCACAAACTCAAGGTTACAGTGGCATCAAAAATATCCACAGGAAAGGAAAAGGCTGACGTGAAACACAATATCGTTAATAGCTATTGCATTAGAGTGGTTAGTTGTCTTTTCTTTATTTTTCAAAGTTCCTATAGCATGTTATATAATTTTTATAATAAAAAATTATAAATGAAGAAAGAATCCAAGCTTACAAAACACAGTTGACTTTATAATTCTTCAAACAAATATGCAGAAAGGAGACATTCAACCAAAAGAAAGATGCTCAATGGAAAGCTCGCTGGGGTCCTGGGAGGAGCTCTGCAGACGAGGCCCGGCATCCTTGTCCTTGGAGGCAGGGAGCAGCGGGAGGCCCCAGGCTGCGCTCCACAGCTTCCCCCCCGGGCGGGTACGACACACGCTGGACTTCCACACGTCTATCAGCCTTGTGTGCCTGGGAATCTCAAAGCACTTTTGAAATCTGTACTCGATTTGGTTTGATGGTGAGGAAAGTGCGGCTCATACACAAGTACCAAAATGGTGACAGCACTGGCAAAAGCAACCACTGCAAGCAACCCCACCGCTCACCGGCATTCTGTGGCCCACAGCTTAGGAAAGGTTAGGTAACACTTCTGCTTCAAGCTATATCTCGTTTACTCAGCTGTGTTCACATAAAAAAAACCTATATGCATGAGACTGTAAACATATTCATAATGACAGCTCACGGAGGGGATTCTGTACCCTTGCAGGAGGTTTTTTAGGTAATAAAAAACAAAATCTGTATTTAAAATACACGTGCATCTCATAAGATAAATTTTTAAAACTCCTTTTTAAAATAGCCTAGTGGACATTCCAAAGTAGTCTCTTTGCCCAGAGCAAGTGACTATAAATGCTTACTGTTTCAGTATATAAAACAGAAAAGCCTCAATAAGGATTTCAGAGTCTGTTCGTCAAGAAATCACACAATTTGTGCCCAAAGTCCGCACATATACTAATGTCACTTCCTTCCTTGATCTCTAAATATGTCCTCCTCCATGTCGGAGGTATCTGGAGGTTGGGCATTTGCCTAATCCCAAGGGTCCTCTGCGGGGTCACAGCTGCTGGTTGGTGAAGAAGGATTTAGTCTGCCTGCAGACAGGATTCACACAGAGCGGACAACTCAGAGTCAACTGCTTGGAGCACAGCTCGTTGGACTGGATGTGTGAGTGCACCAAATCTGCCAGGGCCTGGAGGACGCACGACAAGAAGCAAAGATTCATCAGAGGCAAAAAGTCTACTGTCTCCCCATGCACTTCCCCCACCCATCTGCCCAGATAATCACTACGGCTTGGGGATTCTTTTAATCTGAATTATGAATCCTTTGAACCAAATTCTGTAATATGTTCCTCTCCTAAGAATCTCCTCAGCTTAGAGAAAACTTAAGACAGAGATTTTAGGAAATGAAATCCTCTTACCCCACCTGCTAAACCTTGTCTCTGAAAGGCAGATTTTAAATTAGACATAGATGGGTAGAAATAAGAAAATTGGGCCATCTAAAGGAAAAAAGAGTGAGAGTATAAGGAATTCGATTTTACTTTTGTAATTAATTGGAACTCAAAATGTTCTAATATGTGAGAAAACCAATATTCGGTAGGAGTTTCTCAGAGGATTACTCTCCGATATGTTCTACTGAAGTGGTTGTAACACTGCGGATACCTTAGAGAACAATGGATTTCCATTAAGAGACTCTGCTCTTCTGATGTTTTCAGCTCCACACTGAATCAAATGAGAACAGGGAGGAGAAACACATACACATTTTATTTTTCTTTTGTTTTTTTTTTTAGAGAAACTGATTGCTGCCAAAAAAATAAATACAAACACAGATTCACAAACACAACTCAAAGTCTTACTTCAAAAGCGTCCCCCAACTGCTCAGAAATGAAAAATGGTCATGGGGTGAGCACATCCGTTGATTTCCACCTCTGTTACCGTAAAATTGCTCTTCAATTTCTATTCTTTCCCCACCCCATTACCTTCCCACAGGTGCTTTGTTTCCAAACCGTTTTTGAGGTTGTATTTGATAGAATTCTCAAATAATTTAAATCTACCTACCATCCTTTTGTTACTGTATCTTTCTAATGCATGCATTTACAGACTCCACCTAAACAGAACGTTGCTTTAAATTTTTATGCTTCCAGTGTCAAAAGAAGTAAATTACAGTCAGGTGTGACCTAACAATGGAGATATGTTCTGAGAAATGCGTTGTCAGGCGATTTCATCATGCACACATCAGAGAGTGCACTTACACAAACCTGGATGCTCCAGCCTGCTACACACCTAGGCTGTATGGTACTGATCTTACGGGACCACTGTCATATATGCGGTCGTCACCGATCGAAACATCATTATGCTGTACATGACTGTAATTTAACGTATGCTGAACCTAGATTGGATCCAATTCAGAGTTGGGATTTTAGATAGATCTTACGTAGAAAAACCTGAAATAAAATTCTGAGGATTATTTCATTACCATCCCTGCTTCTCTCTCCAAAAATGTCCAGTTAATTATCCCTCAAATAAGTGAGAAATATCTAATTATCATTTACTCGGATAGTTAGGATCTTCTTTCCCTTTCCAAAATGTTGATGACTTTTCAGTTGCTATGTATTTTAAGCCGGCATCAACACCAGAAGACTGGCATGGGAAAAATGCTGAGATTCAGCAAACACATAGTCCTCAACTTAAAAAGAGACTGTAATCTACAACTTCACGGAGAAGTCAGTGACAGCAAGATAACCAATGCTGGAAACATTTAAAGGAGACACTTCTGTAGGGCAATCCAGTAAAATATGCACCAACATTTAAATTCCGTTTCTAAGAATTTATCCTAAGAAAATACTGAAAAAATAAAAAAGAAAATGTTTACTACAGAGCAGTTTATGATAGTAAAAAATTAGAAATAATGTTAAATGTATACTAATCAAGGATTTGTTAAAAATAATTACATAGATCTAATTATATTTATTGATTTGGGTGCATAATATATTCTTAAGAACAAAGTTACAAAACAGTATGAAGAAAATGCTATTTTTGTTAAACGTGTAGAAGAATATCATTTTAATTAAAATACACATTTAGAGGAGAAATGGGACTTATTTTTATCAAAATATTAACGTATTCTCTCCTTAGGGGTAAGATTCCAAGTGAGTTCTACGTTATACTTCTTTCAACTGTTTGAGATGTTTACTATTTTTATTATCAAAAAGCAATAAGGTTATTTCTATTTGGGGAAAAAATTCAAACCATTTTTTAAATAAAGTTAATTGTTTTAAATACAGTGTATTCTCCCATCAAAATAATGAAACAAATTGTAGCTAGTTGGTCTCCTTTATTCTATGGATTAACTTATTAATCACTAATAATCCATTTGATTACTAAGGAATGACCTTAGCTTAGTAATATGAATGAATGTGAATTATTATTCAATACAAACAATAAATTATTTTCCAAACACTCTGCTATGAACTATATTTGGACTTAAATCTTTTTAGCCAGCTCATAATAAGCCAAAGTCATGGTGGGATACAGGAGGCACCATTAAGTAAAATCCACAGACAACCCTGCAACCTCATTTTAGCCAACTATGACTCTCCCATAAATTCTTTATCAGAACTACTGACAAGTAATTTAGGCACTCCTGAACTTTCATTGATGTTTGATGAGCAGCATGAATACACAAACACCTGTGGGGTTGGGTGTTGGCTAAACTTCCCCACCCACTCTCCACCCTGCCCTGCACCTGCCATGCAGGCCTGGAGAGGGTGAAGCATCCTTTGAGGCCAGGTCTCCACCAATCACACGTGGGATGATCAGGGCCAGGAGTTCTGGCAGAAGATGAGGAGGGAAGGGCTTCTTGGGTCCAAGGCTTCCACAATTCCCATGGAAACAATGCTATAAATCAGACTCAAGTTTCCAGCAGGCCCTCAGAAGCCATGAGATGGGTGGGAAATAGTTTTTCTCCACCCTGACTGACAATTCACATCCATCTTACATTACAAGACACTAAGGATGGTATTTGTTATTTCAGTGACCACACTGATCACAACACAGTAGCAAACAGCTAATTAAGTGAATGTATAAAAGAGGTCAAGGAAATTAAAACATATACTGCTTCATTCATTCCATGCTCTTCTCTTAAATGACAGTGACTCCTACAAGCCTTGAAAACCCAATGAGAAGCAGTGTAACAGCCCGAAAGTAAGGGCACTATTAGACTAAGAAAAGGAATTATAGAACAATAAAAACTTTTCCCTCCAAATTGATGAGAAGTACAATTATTTTTTTTAAGGAAATGTAGTTTTCATTACTTTCAGTAGTACAGTAACTCAAACTAAACAAAATGACATTGCCTGCAGTGGGCCACCTGGTTTTAGAAAGGCACAAAACTGCTTTCCCACTGCTGACATGGAATTACCTTGATGTGTTCAGACCATTACTCAGATTAAGTGTTATTCAGAACAATGAGGACACAGTACATGCAAACAAGTATACCAAACAATATTTTTGAATGATACAATTAGATTATTGCAGAGAAAGTTTTCTTTTAAAACAAATAACAATGGGATTGATGAGCCAGATGGGAGCATTTACCTCTTTGGCTAGAACTTGTGAGTATTCGATATCCAGTTCATACAGTGTTTCAATGTGATCGCTGGTAAACGCAATTGGAACCAAAAGGATATTCTTCCTTCCCCTCTCACAAAGTCCTCTGATAGTCTCGTCTGTTTGAGGACCCAGCCAGGGCATAGGACCAACCTATGAAAAAGGAGAGTGAACACATACTGGGACCCACTGCTCCCACCATGTCTATGACCCATCACAGCCCACTGCCCTGGGCACACACGAACCTCCCTGTAGGAGCGAGAGCCATTCTTTACACCTGCTTTAATGAGTTCTGGTATTTCTACATTAAGCTTGAATACTTCTGGAATTTGGCAAAATATAAATAAATAACAATTTCTGTCATTACCACTAAAAATAATGTATTAAATCAACAGAAATCAACTAGTCACTTGATTTCTCCTCCTACCCAATTTGCTTGCTGAGTTCTTTCTGTCCATGGTGAGCAATCAGGCTACAGAACATTCTGTCTATAAGAGCCAAATCTAATCGTTTTATAACTAAGTCCTAAACTAGACTTCCTCAAAAGAGCTGACTGCCTCCAACCTGTGGAAGCCACCTACCTTGGACTGCCAAACCAGTCGGTAGGGGTTGGAGTAACCCAGCTTATCCATGACTCTCTGCACAGTGGCACCCACCTCCTGAGGATAGGGATCCCCTCTGTTGACCACCTGCAGCAAAGACACATGGGCGTTCAGTCGCCAGCACGTGAAGGGTTCCGGGAGCCTCCAAGTGTGCGGGAGACGATGGGTGTGAGGGCAGGACCGAGTCCTCCCTTTCTGTCTTCTGCACTAAGGAGGACACAATCTGAGCTCAATCACCAAACTTCCTGGGATCCATTTGTTCATCAGCCAGAGAACACAGCACTCAGTCATCTCTGAGGTCCCAAAGAATATGTCAGATTCTCTGTTCTACGTTATTCTTGGGAAACCAACAATGTATAACGCTGGACGATGGTCTCAGTCCCCCATCTGAAACAGGGCAGGAAGAGGCAATGGGGGATGGGACTTCTACCTTAGTAGTCATTTGAGTGGCTGATTTTTAGAACAGGAAACAAGAGTGTTGTATGGACAGTGTACAGAACTACTGAGTTTATGGGGACCAGGTAAACAAAGGGGTAGATGCTAGTGGAATAAGAGGGAGGAAAGCAGCAGCACGTGGTTCAAATTCCAGGCTCCTCAAGAACATGACCTGTGCCTTCTAATCCCTCTTCTCTCCCCATTCTTCCCACAATGGACTGTAGTCCGTGCTTCGAGCACAGCGACTGTCTGAAAAATGCTCCTGAGCGTCAGAACAGCTTGTTATAGCTTTAAAATGTTCAAAGAAATTTTATTTCTACTGCTTTAATATTTAGTTGTGTACTAATTCCCTAACACACACACCCTGCTTTATTTCTTCCTATAACACATATTACCTCCTAACATAGCACACTGTTTTCTTACGTTGTGTGTTTATTATCTGCTTCCCCCCCTGTGGGGGCAAAGATTTCTGTCTATTTTGTTCATTCCCATATCCTACGATAGCGGGTAGAACAGCACCCGGAACACAGTAGGTGCTCAGCAAATCCTGTTGCCATGAAATACTGATGAATTCAAAGTTAGTTAACAAGCCATTAGAAATGTAAATATGGAAAGAATGAGGAAAATACGAAGTCACGTGAGAACAGCACAGAAATAACTGCGACCGGCAAGATCCACCGATAGAGGCTAAAATTAGCAGGCAAAAGTCTAAGGAACAACAAGACATTGGCATGGTCTCAAAGCAGCTCTCCAAGATATTTTTAATTAGAAAGAGAAAAATAGTTACTTTACAATGGACAAATCCAGCAGACAGCACTTTAGACAAATGACCAAGGATCACACCAGCAGCAGTAAGACAAAGTGACATCACACACTCCCGGCAGGATGCGCTGAGGAGGACAGATCACCCCTGGGTATTCTTCCCAATAATACATAACCTCAACCTGATCGTGAGAAAATACCAGACCAATCCAAATGGACGAGCGTGCTACAAAATAAGTGACAGCCTACAAAATCACTCTTCAAAAATATCAAGGTCACAAAAGACAAGGAAAGTATGAGGAACTGTCCCAGACTGCAGGATACTGCAGAGGCATGACAACCAAATGCGATGTGGGATCCTGGATTGAATTCTGGAATAGAAAAAGGACAACTGTGGAAGAAGTGGTGAAATCCGAGTAAGGGCTGGCCTTTGGTTAATAGTGTCACACCACTGCTCAGTTCTTCCTTTTCATCACTGTACCATGGTTACGTGAGATGTCAACATTAGGTGAAGCTACGTGAAGGGTATATGGCAACTCTCTGTACTATTTCTGCAACTTTTCTGTAAGTCTAAAATTACTTCAAAATAATAAGTTCTTAAAAAGTCATTAAGGGGGAAAAAGTCATTAGAAAGCAAATGTAGAGGAAAAGAAAAGTTCGCTAGATCAGTTTTCTTCCTCAACTATCCCACTGTCTTCCCTACCCCTTCCCTATCCTCATGACTTCATGGCATTCCTCAGTCCCACACAGGACCCGGGGCAGCAGAAACCTGGAAGCAGTATGCTCAGTCCCTGAGGGGAAGAAAGGGAAATGAGGCCGCGGGTGAGAGAAGAGAAGGCAGCACCTGGAATCGTTCATGTATAAAAATGTGTTTCCTCCCTTCCCAGTTCAAGAGCTTCCCTTCTGGCACTTCAGACATGGCCTCATCACATGAAGGACAGTTATACAAAGGATGAGGGTGGAGCAGGAGGATGGGCATGTGAAGAGGCTCTGCATGACACCAGAAAAGAGAATATGAACCCGTTAAAATCAACAGGCAGGCTTCCAGAAGAGAGAAATTTATCTCCAGAGCCACCTACTGCTTAGTTGAGATATGGGAATGGAAAAGCTGCGAAGGGCTCCACCTTGGTCACCACCAGGTGGCAGTGAAGACCAACTAGAAGAGTAGCCCCAGACATCCAGGTTAACTCCATTAACCCTGGAGTTAAAACCTTAATAACACCTAAGAAAAAGTAATTCTCTACCTTGCTGGCTTTGAAAGTGATGTTTTTAGGACACAATGATAGTTCTGAGCTGATGAAACTAGCTGCTTATATCAAGCACATCTATACTGCACACTAGCTTGATCATTCTTGTTTCCAAAAAGGCAACAGCTATGGCAGATGGAGTATTTTCATGAAGACACAGTATACTATGACAAACCAACGACCAATCAGATCACAACTTGATATACTCTATATTCAATTGCCAAAATGTGATCCCAAGTCTTAGCAAACTAAAAACTGTGATTACTTCCTGGATTTCAAACAGTCCCTACCAAGTCTTGATGAAAGAATGGGATGGAGAGCACTCGTGTGAATGGAGGCCCAACAATTCAACGCACTGAGACATCGGGCGGAGCCCCTTCAACAGGGCAGGCAAAAGCAGTGAAAAGAACTCTTCCACTTACTAAAAATTCCTACATACAAATACATCTTCAAACTATCATTTTAAAGGGGTTTATTAAGACAGTATCTATTCACAATATTATAATCTGAATTACTTGTTATTAGGTTTCAAGAAATGAGTCTAGTTAAATTAGCACCAAGTTAAGTCTGCGATCTTACAGTTCATCCTTGCACAGGGCTCAGGACGACGCGGAAGCTGCATTTAGAAATCCTCTACCCCTAGATCAGCCAAAAGAACGTTCTTACTTACAGACATCGGCAGTGAGTGAGCAGAAAAAAGAATGACCACCTCGCTTCTCTTCTCATGTGGAAAATGGTCCAGTTCTTTCAGAATGTGGTCTGCAAAGCACTTCGCAAATACCAAGAAAGGAGGATAAGGAAGAAGTAGGAAAAAAGAAACAGAAGGAAAAGAAAATATTTTTTAAATGAGAGCTACAAAAAAAATCTCACAGCAACCATCAAAAACTGGAACTCTCTTTTTAAAAAATTACAAACAGTACAGTCTCCGCTTGCTTTGGTTCATCATCAAAATGGCTCATAACAGTTTCAGGGGCCTAGGGAATTTGATGGGAAACTTCTAAAGCTCACTAATGGCTCACTGAAAATGAATGCTCTGGATCTGCTTCCCCTCGGGAGGAACAGGGCACACTTCCAGATGGAAAGGAAACACAGATGGGAAGGAGAAGTTGTTTTAAGACCTCTCATTTGCTCGGTTAGCAGGAAAACAGCTTACAGGGTCTTTCTAAATCTCCGTTAGTCTGGCTTTTAGGTATATCACATTAAACTACATTAGACAAAAATAGTAGAGGAATAAGAAAACACTCTTCTATTTTTATGACCTTTTCGTTCTGAGCTCAGTATCTTCACTAAGTCAATCTTCATAACAACCTTCATAACAACAGATGAGAGGTAGTACAACTCTCAGTAAATTCACGGGGGTGCGGGGAGATGCGGCGACCTGGGGGCCCATTCAGTCACATCTGCAGAACTTGGGCTACAACGCAGGTCCCGCCTCCTCTGAATCTCTGTCCACCAGACCAGTGAGTTCCCATGTCTAGTTGGCACTTGCTGATTCACAACAATAGGTGCTGAAATCTCAGATCTGAAGAGGCTTTCTTTCATCTTACGCTTTAATCATTCTTCGTCACTTAACTTATAAAGCAAATGCTACAAAGGACATATTAATTATCAATTGACAAAGCCGGAATATAAATGTAGGTCAGACAAATGTAAGCATCAATGTTAAATTTACTGAAGTTGAACACTGTACCACAGTTATGGAAGAGAATATCCCTGCTACGTAGGTGTAAAGGGTGATTTTATATATATAAGTTACTCTCAAAAGGTTCAGAAGAAAATATATGTATGTATATACAAACATAAACACACAGAGAGGATGCAAATGATAAAGCAAGTTGGATAAATGTTAAGAATATGTGAATCTAGGCAAAGAGTAAAGTTGCTTATACTGTTCTTAGTCTTTCAACTTTCCTGCATGTTTGAAATTATTTCCAAAAAAAGGTTTTTAAAAACTTATAAAGGACAATTTACCAGAACCATGTACATTTGTACTTGTTGTATTTTGATATATCAGTGGTTAATACTACAGGAAGAGAAAATTATTCCCTAATCAACACTGAGACATTATCAATCTTTCTGGACTCTCAAAATTTGGTAAATAGATGCACTAAGGTACAAAATGTGCCTAGAGCGTTAGTTCCCTTTTCAAAATTTATAATTTACCTACAGAGTAAATATGGTAAGATCAGATACAAACCAAAACAATATTTTCTGGTGGTCTTTGCAGTGCTTGGAAACTAAGGATGCTCAGAAAGGACTGTTTCTGGACCATAGCCTAGATCAGAAGGCCCACTGCAAAGTTTGCAGAGGAGCTTGGCACATTCACTTACTCCAATTACTCCTCCAGCTAGACAAATAGCAATTTTAGAGATGACAGTAGTAAAATGACTATTTTGAGTAATTACTACCTATAACAAGTAGAAATGTAGATTAAAAATATTCTTAGTTTTTAACTATATTTCTAGTTTTAGTTTAGGGTTTGTTTGTTTTTAATTTCTGCTAGAAATCAAATCTCCTCGTGTAATCTACACAATATTAAGAATAAGGCCTATTATAAACTTTTGTTTCCAAAAATTTTGGTATTTTTCCTTTTCTCATCTCGCAAAACCACAAGTAGAAACACAATTATTTATGGCTTACAGCAGACTCTAAGCCATCATCCAAACTGAGGAGCTGGGGTAAAGTAGAAGTGCTACTCAACTCATCTAAAATCCATCTGCGGTATTTCCTACACGCAATCCCCCTGCAGAAGGAAAGCGGCAGGCGGCTCTCAGAGCCTTCAATCACATCATCTAGGAGGGTGGATAAATGCCTCTAAAACTCCCTTTCATTTTATGAACGGAGATTTCCTCAGTTAAGAGACCTTTCCATCTTTCTGCTTCCCCCCTTTTCAAAGGGCTGAATTTTAATGCAAATCTAATTACTCACTCGATCAGGGCAGGCAGATGCTGTGCAGATCCCTCGTTCTCTGCTACCACATGTCAGTGCTGACCTGAAACACCCCTCGTTTCCAATCACAGGCCTCCAAGAGCAAACTATGGCACTCTGGAGCTTCAGGCGGTACTGACTGGATCCAGCAGCAGAGAAAATGAGCAGGGGAACACCACATCGAGACCAAAACTACACCCATCCCTAAGGGAAGGTGCCTTCTTTTCATTTCTGCTTAACACTGCATTTCAATCTGAGCATTAACCCTTGACATCATCTCCGTGCCTAAGGAACACTGTCTGCTCCAGGGAGAGCTGACCTGCTTTTAACAATGTCTAGCACCATCTAGTGGTTACAGCTTCTAAATGACTCCAGGCTTTTTAAAAGGGTAAGCTGGTATTCTGCCAGTCAGAGGATGTCCAAGGAAAGAAACATAAACTGGATGAAATCTAAATCACTCAATATTTCCTCTACGTAAACTAACTCAAAGGCAGAAGATTGTACTGACTGAATAAAACTATACTTGTATGATTTAGGGCAATTACCCGTAGCACACTCGACTCACAGGGCAAAAAGTATACAGTAACACCAATTCAAAGGTATTGGCTTTAGAATTGTAGTTTTAACTGATTCTCCTAAAATCAAGCATCTATTAATATAAACATTATAATTGTGCAGGAGGAATCTGAAATTTCTTCAAATACATGAAACTTCCTCAGTTGAAATGTTACATTTATTTTCACGTTTCAGAACATGTAGACTTATCACCTTTAAATTTTTTAAATCTTTTGACATTTTAAAGGATCTAGAAAATAAAGGATTTATTTGTCCATCATTCAATCTATGAACATAAATTAGGCGAAACACTTGCATAATCTTTAACAGTCCTCTGGTCATCGGCAAACACAAAGCTCAAAATATAAATCTGCTATGGTTTGTGACTAACAGTATTAATCTGAAGAAAGAAAAGAATCTAACGTTTACCATCTTTGAATTTATTTTCTCCTGTCACAGTCTTGATAGACTCTAATACTTTTGTTTAAGCCCCAGCACACAATTTAAGCAAGAGAACTACAGTAAGGCTCAGAAGGACACCTGCAGACCAAGCAGGGACAAGAACCTGACCCACAGCAGAAGCAGGGGTGACAGGGGCTGCCGGCAGCCGCTGACTTACCTGAATGAGAAGGGGATGTGTGGGCCACCTGTCAATAGTGCTCCACTTCATCGCAGGCTTCTTTCCCACTTCATTGTAGTATCTGTAAATGGCATTTAAGCTGCTGCCTGAAATATATAGGGGGCTACTTATTTTTTTTTTAAAGATTGGCACCTGAGGTAACATCTGTTGCCAATCTTTTTTTTTCTTTTTCTCCCCAACACGCCCCCACCCCCCGCCAGTACATAGTTGTATAGTCTAGTTGTAGGTCCTTCCGGTTGCGCTTTGTGGAACACCACCTCAGCATGGCTTATGAGCTGTGCTAAGTCCACGCCCAGGATCTGAACCAGTGAACCCCTGGGCTACCGAAGCACAGCGCACAAACTTAACCACTGGGCCACTGGGCCTGCCCCTATTGGGGGGCACTTAGTAGATGCATGTTGATTATGATGAAAATAAAAAACAGACAGTAAAGGCAGTAATTCTAAGTTCAAAAGAGGTAACGTTTCTATACCGAATCAGCCTAATTACAATCATTTCAAATACTCTAAAATGCATATAGATTTAACTACCCTGCAAATGAACATCACTAAAGAGCAATCAATTTCAATAGCCTTTTAAAAATTATTGAGGCCATTCCTAGTGAGAAACACGATGGAGGTGGATTTACGAAATATAAGTAGTCGTTATTTGCAGGGACCAAGTCTTACACTTGAAAGCACGTTAAATTTTTTTTCCCATTATGAAGATAATCAACCCCATCACAGAAAATGTAGGTGGTGGGGAAAAAGGAAAAAAGAACCCAGCTTTTATCCCAGCATGCTAATACAGTTATTATTTTATTCTAGTATAGTTCTTTTCAATTATTTTTCTTTACAGCTGTATTGTTTAACAAAGTTGTAATTTTAGTACATACGCAATTTTGTATCCTGGGCATTTGGGGCATTTTTACTTAATATTATGAGATGAACATTTCTCACATTACAATAAAAGCTTTATAACTATCCTTTTAATGGCTGGTTAATAAGAACAGCTTATGGAGAGCAGCTGACTGAAGTTCCTATGAGCATTCTCCATTTTTATCTGCTCCTACAAAATTATCATCATTCCCTACAATAAGTTAAATGGATACTAAATCCTTACAGGTGATCTAACAAAATCTGTATTTGCAAGCAAGAGTTAGAAATCAAGTAAATTCAAAGACTAAAGGAAGGCAGATGGTGCCAACCCAATGCAACTCTTTCCTGGCCCAGGGGAGCTGGCACAAGGGCCAAGCCTTAATCCTATGAAACTATTCCTACCACAGGGCCTCTCCCTCAATGTTAACACAGGGCAAACATTCCAAAACATTCCCATGCTTCCAACAGCAATCCACTGGTTTCTCTAACTGTAAGAGCTATTAATCAGTCAGGTCTCTAAATTAAAATGCTAGTTAGGACAAAGCCATACTTAAATCAAATGTCCTCTTAGGCTAAAACTCAATTTTCAAAAAAATAAATGAGTTCCATTTCAGTGAGCAGAATACAATCAGTCAGATAAATGCAAACTGCATCCATTCCAGGTTCAAAAACAATCTCTCTAGAAATCACAAAGTGGTCAACACCATATTCATACTGCAAACCACATTTTACAGGTGAGTATCACTGTCAGATGTTCAGAACAACTTCTGAAAGCACATTAGTTCTCCTGGGTCACTCAGAAACACTACGTGAACTACTAGTAGTAACTCAGGGGCAAACAAATTAAACAATTGCTTGTGATTGATACATAGAATATACCGGCCCTGCCACAACGGTGTGTGTCTAAATGATGTACTAGATAAATGACACTCTAGTGCCCTCAAAGAAAGACTGTGCTTCCCAAAGGCTTTCAAATCTCTGAAGCAAGTGAAGATGTACCTGCCCCTACACACGAGTGTCCTGGAGAACAACTGCACAGACACTGAAGTTTGACACACTAGTAGACCAGCTGTGAAATGAAATCTGTAGTCAATCCTTTGTCATACAAATAACCATCTTCTTAACTTGTCTAATTTTGAGAGCAGACATTTACATGTTCAGGTATATTTTTTAAAGCAAGGCAAAAGTAGGGTTTAGAAATTTATAAACTCTGATTCATTCTCCAACAATAGATTACTATTTTGAAGTTGCAGAGGTACATTTCCAAAATAAATCACAGCTCAGACTCTTGAGGGTTTCTGAGAACTCAGGCATTTTCATAGGTGCTTTGAACAAATATTTAAAGCACACAACGGGCTGTGAATATGCGTTCCAGTAGTTTTGATTCTCCTTATAGATACAGAAATAATAGATAATAATATACAAAAGCTATTTGTGAGTAAAAATGAGCTGACCTCAATCCTTGAAATAAAACAAAATGTATTTATATAGAATGAAAATGTATTTGTGTGTGACAGTAGAAGCTTTACCTACAATTAATGATACAGCGATCGGCAAACACAGACTACTCTCCAGCTCCAATTAAATATATAAGAAACAACAAGTAGTAATATTTTCCAAAATCTACACCACTAAGAGAAGTTTACAAAGGGAACCTCACACTGAGCATTGGTTTAACCAGTAAACAACCCATAACTGAAGCATAACAAAAAAACATACCAATATTTCCTACATTGTATGAGCACCTCTGCTTTCAAAATGAAAGCAGCTACCATCTTTGCTACATTAATAAGAATATTAGGGTAGCCATAAAAATAAGGTTTATTACACAAACATGGAAAGTGGCTCAAGGTTCATTACTGATCTATTACACGACTGCATTAAAGCACAGAACACTAGCAGCCACCACCTCCCACCTACCATTTGTAATTCTCAGCCCACTGGCCAATAACTCAAGGGATAGATGAACCATGAGATTTCAAATGGACTGACCTGAACTCTCGTGTTTAAAGCAGACAGGTTGGATTTGCCATTCAAATAGAGAATGATTTATCCTTTCATTCTGCACTCAGCTTCCCTGGTTATCTCTTCCAGGACCATATCCTCCCTCCCACTGTCAAAGAGAAGCCCTTACCTGTGGTAGAGCAGCTGTACTGTGGATACTGTGTGAAAGCAATAGCCCTTTCAAGCCCATCTCTCTCCATCTCTTCAATTGCTTCTTCTGTTAAAGGATGGACATACCGGAATCCAATATAGTATTTGTGAGGGGCTATTAGGAAGCATGTGTGGAAAAGAGAAAGTATTAATCTTTATATAGATTCCTCGGAATTGCCAAACACAATGCAATGCCCAGAACAAAGAACAGTTAACCTAACTTCCTGTGATGCTGATAGTGTGTCTAGTTTAGAATATTCCTTGGATTTTATCCAGGCTTCAGCTAGTACATGGACTTTTAATCACTATTTTCTGGGATCAACCTCCTCACTCCACCAGACACACCTTTACTTAGCACTTTTTTTTTTTTTTTACTATACTAGTAATAGTAATTATCAAGTATTACTTTTTTTAAATTTTTTTGAGGAAGATTAGCCCTGAGCTAACTGCTGCCAATCCTCCTCTTTTTGCTGAGGAAGACTGGCCCTGAGCTAACATCCGTGCCCATCTTCCTCTACTTTGTATGCGGGACACCTACCACAGCATGGCTTGTCAAGCGGCGCCATGTCTGCAACCGGGATCCAAACCAACGAACCCCCCCAGGCCACCAAAGCGGAACGTACGCACTTAACCACTGTGCCACCGGGCCGGCCCCAGCACATGGTTTTTAAAACTTAAGCTTCTGTGTCTTATTCTCTGCTCTTGGCTGAGACAAGAGAGACTCAGGAGAAGGGAAGAAAGAACCAGCACTTATTCTTCAAGTGCACCTCCTCTTATGTACCAGATACCAGGGTAAAAATTTAACTTTTTTTTTTCTCATTTAGACCCCATTTTTCAGATAAGGAAACAGAGACTCTCAAAGGTTAATGAACCCGCCCAAAGTCACACCTGGCAGATGGTGGGGCTGAAATTATAACATGGGTCTCCTCACCCCAAAGCCCATGCTCCTTCCATGCCCCCAGCCTGCTTCCACCACTGGAGTTCCCTCCTCCTGTTCCCTTACACCCCAGATCACCGAGTTTGTATAAAACTGGAGATCCTCAACAAAAGTTTATTGATAACAAATGACTGAAATGACTCTCCTCATTTAATATATGAAAAAAATCCAACAACTTTTTTTTCTTTTTTGAGGAAGATTAGCCCTGAGCTAACTGCTGCCAATCCTCCTCTTTTTGCTGAGGAAGCCTGGTCCTGAGCTAACATCCATGCCCATCTTCCTCTACTTTATATGTGGGATGCCTACCACAGCATGGCTTGCCAAGCGGTGCCATGTCTGCACCCAGGATCTGAACCGGCGAACCCCGGGCCGCCAAAGCGGAACGCACAAACTTAACGGCTGCGCCACCAGGCCGGCCCCCCAACAACAATTCTTAAATTGGAGGCACCAACTGGGATTTAAAATAATTGCTCTTGACACCTAAATGGCTCAAGTCAGCACACATCTTTGCATTCCTTCCCCCATCACTTTACCAATCCCTTCTTCTATCTCCTCCTTTATCCTCTTGTATCTTCCCCCCTATATTTTAAAAGCATCTACAACCACTCAATTTCTTAGGCATTTATAAAATCATAAAACTGAAAGTTTCCTAAAGTGACCCAGGCTTGCTTCCTTGTCTTTTCATAGAATTACACTAACTTATACCCAAGGATGATATGGAGAACACACTACATAAACATTAAGTAATAGTAAATCTAAGATGCTAATACTGTTCAAGCATTAGCAGGAGCATTATATATACACACACCCATTATGTTTTATATATATATATAAAATTTCCTCAATAACTTGACCCAGGGAACTGTGAATCAACGGAGCATATTACCAAGGACAGAAGCAGAATACCGATGGAAGAGAGAAGTATGTCTGTGCATGGGAAGGAGTCTGATTAGATATTCTCTGGTTGGGGTCTACAAAAAGAGGAAGGAAGGGTGTAAACAGAATCATTCTCAGCTGTCTGTCCCTTCTAAGTCACCAATTTTATGGTCTCTTGCATAAAATATGGTGAACTGCAGTTAGAACACAGCAGAGTGACCCTGGAAGCCAACTCCAAATGACTGACTGTTGAAAGATTATGGGGTTCATGCTAAACTGCCAACTATCACAATATCAGCAAGTCCATCTTTTTTGGGGGGAGTGGTGAGGAAGACTGGCCCTGAGCTAACATCTGTTGCCAATCTTCCTCTTTTTGCTTGAGGAATGTTGTCCCTGAGCTAACATCTGTGCCAATCTTCCTCTATTTTTTATGTGGGACACTACCACAGCATGGCCTGATGAGCGGTGTGTAGGTCCACGCCCAGGATCCGAACCCGTGAACCCTTGGGCTGCTAAAGCAGAGCATGTAAACTTAACCACTACACCACTGGGCTTGCCCCTCACCAAGTCCATTTTTAAGGAGCTCTTGGTGAGCTGAGCTGAGGTTGAAGCGGAATCTGCTTTCTAACCTATTTTGAGACAATACACTTATGAGACTGATATAAGAAGAGCCCCCAATGCTGCAGGTCAACCAGCTCCCCACATGTTCTTTTCACCTGTGCAGTACTGGGAAGCTGCAGCCTAAATGCCTAGGGTCTGAGAGTTCCTCAAATACTGCAGCCTAAGAAAGGTGGAGAGGCTGCCCTCACACATAAACGCAGGGTGGTGACCACATTTTGAAGTGAGAGACAGTTGAATACTCTGGCAAGAACAGATAATGTTTTCTAAACTGTCCAATTGATGGCCTCCAAAAACACATTTTACAGAAAGTGACAATGTGCTCTCTCTGACTGGGCCTATCCTGAGGAAACAACAAGTGTTCACAGAGGCTCCTTGCTGGTCAGGATAGATTTCCCACTGCAGCTGGCTGTCCCCAGCAGAGCGTGGGGAGAAGGAGCCTCCTGGGTGTTAACCAGCACCACATCTGGCCAGACTGAGTTCAAAACACACTACTTGCTGGCCTGGCCTAGTCTACCCTCAGAGCGGCTACCCAGTGAACACTCTCCAGTGAGAACTACAAAAGGAAAAAAGGACTGAACAGAAAAACCAGATATTTAAACAGCAAAACTTCATTAATTTCCAGTCCATTAATTTAGCAAGTACAATACCTCAAATGTTTGATTTGAACATGACTCCCTGAGACAAAGGTTTGAAATACATATAGCATGATGCCTTTAATTTGTATTAGATCATGAACCCTATGCCAATGACGAATTATAAACAAGCTCACATTTACTGAGTGTCATGTACTATGCACCACACTAATGCCTTCCAGGATTATCTTATTTAATTTTCACAATGATCCAAGGAGTTGAGTTCTGTTATCCCCATTTTCAAGAGGAGCTTTAGTGGGGTGAGTAATCACACAACATGATTTCATGCCTGGAATCAGACAACGAGGCATGGGGAAGCCAGCTCCATCTGAATCTGAACAAGAACCCATGCTCCTCTCTGTTATGCATTTTATAAAGAACAACGAAATTATTCTACTGAGTAGCACTTACCTATAACTTCATTAAAAGCAGTTATAATCTACATAACTAAAATTTTTTATATTTTTATATTTAGACTTTTCATGAAAGGATTACACTTCTCATCTATTTCTTTCTGTAGTCCCTAAATTACTGCAATGTAATGTAACTATATGAAACCAATTCCAAGTTAAATTCCCTCACATACAGTCATGCATTGCATGACAACGCTTCAGTCAACAACAGACCACATACACGACGGTGGTCCCATGAGATGAGTACCACAAAGCCTAGGTGTGTAGTAGGCGATACCATCTAGGTTTGTGTAACTATACTCTGTGATGCTCACACGACGATGAAATTGCCTAACGACACATTTCTCAGAACCATCCCCATCATCGAGAGACACACACAGTCGCATGATGGACAGGCAAGCAGGACAGGACTGAAACTCACTGTATTAGTCAGTTGGTCAATTCTATGCAAAGTCAGTGCAGGTCTCAAAATTTCTATACTGGCTACCAAGCAGCAACTATTTCCCTAAAAAATGGGAGTATTAAACATTCTTATGTTTGTAATCCTCACTTTTTGCCTAAAAAGAGCTTTTCCAAATAGACATAAACAAATAGACATAGTTCAAAAGCAAACTTTATAATTTTGCAGAAAAGAAAATATAAGAAGACAGGAGGAAGAAGAAAGAGATGAAGAGAGGGAGAAACAAAGAAACCAGAAAGCAGGCAGGAAAAGCAGCACGAAGTGGGGAGGGAGGGAACCGACTGCTATTCCCACCCTAAGAAGCACTTGGGTCCTTCATGCCGAGCTTCAGGTCCACTCAGTGGAGCAAGAGCAGGAGGACCAGCAACTTCCTTCCAGGCAATCTGGCGAGCCCCTGAGGGCCACAGAGCCACACCTGTGATCTTCTTGTTCTTCAATGCAAAGTTCTCCCAAAGAAGTTTCCAAACCTTGAGGCTATGTCATGTTTCCTACATCCACACTCTGTGTGATCATCAGCCCTCATAGACGTTTTGTAGAGCATCTCTCCAATGCATCTTCAAACGATTTTCTCTCTGCCCCTTAGGCAGACTGGCCTGCAGCAGCAAGGTCCCACTAAACTGGAAACAACTTCTAAGTAGAAACCAGGCTTTTCGACTCTGAACAGTGCAGGGCACTCACTGGGCCACTGATAAACGAATGAGTGGGTGGTCTTGGGCTTCATTAAGCACCACTACCATACCCTCAAAGCAGGTCTGCCAAAATGATTAGTTAGTCATCCACCATGCAGGAGAAAGTAGTACTTTAACTTGCCTGCCTCAGAGAGTCCCAAGCTTGGGCCACAAAGGATGGTGATTGGCCAAAGGGTCAACAGTACCAATGCCCTCCCAGGACCTGGCCCTGGACAAAGTTCCAAGATCCAAAGAACTCAAAAGCAGCCCCAAGAGAATTTACTTCTTGCCTTTGTGCAAACTACCAGGAAACTTAGCTCCATGGAGGTAAGGACGCGACTTATTCACTACTTTATCCCTCGTCATGATACCTGACATGTGGTCAGTGCTTATAAGTATCTGGTGGCGGGTGGATGGAAGAGGAATGGATGGATGTGGGAATTAATGGATGAAAGAATGGGTGAGGGAGTGATCAGATGGGCAAGTGAAAGAAGAGAGAAAGATGATTTCTTGCCACATTAGTAACGATTTAGTGACTGGACAGGCAAGCCACCAAGATGATTTGTGCTTCATGGCTACCCTAAACTTATCCCCAAAGTTATAATGAAGAATAATAGATTTTTGTTTCCATATAGGTCTCTATAAGATAGAATGCTTAATAACTGATTTTTTTTAAAAAAATTACTCTTACAATTTTGACTATGAAAATATGAAGTGGATATTATTATTCTTTGGTCCCTATCAAAGAAGGAGATAACTAATCGTAGAGTCTAGATGCTTGTAACTTCCTCTCTTTGGACTAAATGGCCACATATTAAAATGATCATACGATCATAAAGTCAGAACCCCAACTGATATAAATTTGTAGAACAGGGATTTGCATAGAAAGGAATTACAGAGCAGTTGAAAGTTATGCTCTAAACCAGACTGGCCAGTATCAGGTACAAGTTGTACGACTTCGGTTAAGTTACTTAACTGTGTCTATTTCCTCATCTCTGTAAGGGAGATAACACCTACCTTACCCAGTCATGGTCACAACTGAATTATATTCCTTAAAAACTGCATCTACTAAGTACCATGTTAGATGTTGTTGATCATTATTAACAATTCCTATTAGAATGGGAATTTGGCAAAAATTGGCTTGTTATATAAACTCTGCATTTAAAAAAAATAATAAAATGATCAGATGTTTCATAATAAGTGGGACACTGGATTAAATCCAGGTCATTCCATGGGACTCTTTCCAGGACAACCTGGGAGGCCACGGCCACCACTGGCTTGTCTGACCTGGACAACCCAGCGGCCTCACCAGACAGCGGAGGCGGCGGGAAGCATGCCTTCCATCTGTAATCCTTTTTCAAGTCTGACAACTCTGCAACAGTCCTATATGGTTATGGGCACTATACTAACACATCACAGAAAACATGGCACCCCCCCACCTCCTTTTTCCACTGAAAACAGCATAGCAACTGCAGATCTGATTCACACTAAGCCTTTTATCATGATAAACTGTTAATAACCAGAGAGTTTGTTCTCTATGAAGTAAGCGTGAGTAGAGGTCAGCCAAGTTTCCCCTCAACAAACATTTTAGAAGATTCACTGTGGCATGTGTGCCTGAACTGTCTAAGACACGCCCCTGAGCCACAAGGGAAGGCAGGAAGCAAACCTAATATTCAGAAGCACAACTGGACAATTTTCCAAGTGAGACGATCTGCTGAGGGCCAGAGCCCTGTGTCCCTGCGTGTGATGTGGAACGGTGGGTCCTGACGGCAACTCGGGCTGACGCTCAGTGTCGTCTTCTCAGAAAAGGAAATGCTTTTGGTCCTGCCTAGTAGGGCTGCCCTTTGCAAGTCTCCACTGTGTCACACTCCTTTCCCAATCCTGAAGCCCTAAAATATATCCGCAATTAATGTATTTCATGTGTCCTAAGATGCACATTTTTTGTTTTAACATTTCTCCTATTGGTCCGCATATACAATAGACACTGTCTTAAAATTAACTGGCAGAGTTTTTTGTGTCTTAGTATTATACAAGGACAATATGTGACCTGCAAACTACGGTGTCTTGAATGCGATTACATATGCGCTTACAGTTCACTCCTGTAGTGTTTCATTCTGCATGTGATGATTCTGCGTTAGAGGTTCTCAGAGGACAGTTACCAAATGCAATCCTCTTTTTAGTGTCACGTCCAACAGGGCACTTAAATGCCTCACAATGGTGGCATTGCCGAGAGCTGAAAGCACTTGCTGAAAAGTTGCTTAGAATCTCATGGCTTCAGTGACAACTAGCTAATTGTGCTCTAAATGTTGATCTAAATAGCTATTCACACAGAAAGAAAAGGCAATAAGCAGCAGCCTCAATCCATTTCCAGAAGATTTCTTCCAGGGCATGATATGTGCACCTTTTATTCATGATATGTAGCCTCTTCCTATTAATCTACTCAACCTAACACACACCTCAAACTTCCTTTCGAAACTAATGTTCCAAATCTCTAGCTTTTTTATTTGCAACATAAGGAAGTAACAGAAAAGGCTACACTGCCAAGGACAAAGGATAATGCCTCAGGAACTGAGTTAAATGACTGTGCGTCACATGGGAACCCCCACAAATCGAGAGCTGCCGGGACAAAGAACTGCATTTGGCATCCAAGAATGTTTTGAATTTCTAACTACTTTGAAAAAGAAACCCTAGTGAGATGCTGATTAAGAAACACTGTACCGGTGTGTGGGGACAACTCGTCCAGCAGCTTTACCATGCCTTCTCCTTGCTTGGAAGTCCACATCTTGATGGGGGATCCGCCTCCAATTCTGCGGTATTGCTCCTGAATTTTGGGGGTTCGGCGTTTGGCGATGATTGGTGCCAGCTTACTAAATCATTTAACATGTAGGGAAGTAAATTTTATTCCACATTAGCAACCTCAGAAACATTTTCTTCTCAATAAAGAAAAGATAAGCAAAATTTTAAGAAGAGCCTGACAAGATCAAGCCTTTAGAAACAGAACCCTGAGGTCACTGACAACAGCCAGCAATTTGGCCTAGATTAGAGACACAAAACTAGACACTATCTGAGGCACAGCCGCCTCTGCCCACAAGTTGTTCCACCAGCACACCCTGAAGATTCAGGACACCAAACACCTGAGCAGAGACGCTGGACATGTGCCAGCCACTATCTTCACACCTCTTGATCCTGAACCTAGCAGGAACTAGGACATAAAAAATATTAGGAAGTACACATTCGTCTTAATTTAAGAAAATGCATATTAATTCTACAGATGTACTTGCATATGTGAGCAAAGATATGTACACAAGAATGTTCACTGTAACACTGTAAACAACCTAAACATGTGTGTGTATGTATGAAGGACTAGATATGCATGGACTATTTCCTCCAGGGTGGATAACTGGGAGACTAGAGGCCAAGGTGAAAGACACATTTGCTTTTTACTTTGAACAGTTTATTCTATTTGCATTTTTTTATCCTATGCATGTATAAACTTTTCATTACAAAAACTTATTTTAAACGAAAAAAGAGCATATCCTTCTTATATCTAATAGAAAATAATAATGCTGCTCTAGCCACTACCAGATATGCATTAAAACCATTTATTTTTTTGAAACTATAGAACTGAGATACATGTAAGGCAAAACACATTGCACAAGTTATGAACAAATGCAAGTGTTTATGTGTATCTTACTTTTGAATAGGAAGTGTCATGAGGTCTCGGTCCAAGAAGAGCCTCAGAAGGAAGTCATGAACTTCTCCAAGGGTTTCAGGGCCTCCCATGTTCAGCATTAATATTCCTGTTTTCGGCTTTCTACAAATAAAATGCAACAGTTGATTTGTAATACTTCTTATTTTCCTTTAGGGTAGAATCTTGGTCCAGCTAGCAAACTCTCATCTAATCTGTTCGAAGCAAAGGTAAAAACATACAGATCTTTTCACTGCCATCACGTGGCTACCTATCTGCAAATGCAGGAGGCCTCCAGTTCTGCATGGTCCCAGCTCAGACTCTGGCCTTCATGTCCTAGCTCCATCCAAGGCACCAACCTTCAGCAGGCTCGAAATGTTTCCCTATTAAACTGGCAGCGCTGTACCAAGATCCCAATCTTCAGGGACTGAAAGTCACGAGAGAAATCTAAAACTGTCCTGCAGCTGAAGCACCTGTTCATGTGAAAGCCTTATGGATACACAGGTTACCTGACCTCTCCAAACTTTAGTATCCTCATCTGTAAAATAAAGAGTCCACCACCAACATCAAAAGGTTGTTTTGAGAATTAAACGGATAATGTCCTTAGTCATTTAGCATGATCTGGCACACAGTAAGTTCTATTAGACACAGAGAAGCCATTAAACCTCCACAGTATACCAACCCATCTCCCACTCTGCTCCTTTCTCTTTAGTCAATTATTTACTACTGACAAATGATTTCTTACTACTCTGCCTCCTTCTCCAGAGCCTGCCTTCTTCTTAGTCCTTCTTCAGTGTCTCCCGCTATAATAAACTACAGTTCTCACTTTACACTCAGCCCTCCATTCTTCATCTAAATCCACGGGTTAGGTAATTCCTGTAAGACACTGCTCTAACTTACTCAAATTAGTCCCAGGCTAAAGAATCAAGCACTGAATGAGTAAGAAGAAATAGCGAAAAGAAAGCAAAACTCTGTAACAAAAGTTTTAGGTCAAGCAGCTTCTGGGAAATTAAAAACACAAAAAGACAGCAAAAATGCACACTTCTAAAATCCAGAGCAGCTCTGGAGCCTACGTAGCCCAAGGTGAGCCAGTCCAGGAGGAGTTCTCTACTCCCTAACCCCACCAGGGGGCAAAGTGAAGCTGGAGCAGAGAGAGAGCCTGCTGTGTGCTTCTGGGAGCCACAGAAGACCACGACTAGAGATTCTGAACTATGAGGTCAGAGCCTGAGACAGTACTGTGGAGAACTGGGGGCCTGTGTGTTCCCATGAACGGTGGCCACTGATGGCAGTGAATGAGTCTGCAGGTGCAGAACTAAAGGACAAGGAGTGTTTCTTCATTCATCCTTTTTTTTTTGCATTAGAAAATTTAGATATAATTCACACACCATAAAATCTGACATTTTAAACTTTACAATTCAGTGGCTTTTAATATATTCACAAGGGTATGCAACCATCACAACTATCTAATTCCTGAACATTTTCACCACCCCACAAAGAAACCTTATACTCATCACCCATTCTCCCTCAGCCCCAGCAACTCCCCAATCCACTTTCTAGGTCTATGTATTTGTCTATTTAGGACATTTCATAGGAACAGAATCATATAATAGATAGCCTTTTGTGCCTGGCTTCCTTTACTTAGCATAAAATTTTCAAGGGTGTAGGCTGAATCAGTCCTTCTTTCCTGTTTACGGCTAAATAATATTCTGTTGCATGGATCTACTCTCCATTCACTCTCGATAAAGCAGCTGAGAAATAAGCAGCCTGACGTTTATCTAAAACACCATTATTACAAATGCATTTTCTAAATCTCCTCCATCAAGACCACCTCTAGCTACCATAGTAACTAAGCCAATGCTGTCAAGATGGCTCTCTTTTGGAAGATTATTCTTAATGTGTTCTAAAACTAAAGACATGATGACATTCGAATTGCAATTTTTAAACAATTGTTAACAACATTTGGCAATAATATTAGGCAGCACAGTATGTTAAATTTATACAGGTGGAAACCATTTTCCTGATCACACACACTGTAGGTGAATAAAGTGTAAATATGAATTCTTAGCCTAAATTTTCAAAATAAGAACCAATTCATAGGGAAAGGGAAAAGTTCCATTACAATGAAGTCAGGGATTTTCTCATTTAGACCCCATTATAAAGATTAACTAAGTTCACTTTTCACATCATGGTCTCAGACTAGGGTTTCTCAACCTCAGCACTACTCACATTCTGGCTGGATCATCCTTTGCTGTGGGGGCTGTCTTGTGCACTGTAGGAGGTTCAGTAGCAACCCTGGCCTCTACTTACTAGATGGCAATACCACCCACCCCACCCCAGCTGTGACAACCAAAAATGTCTCCAGACACTGTCAAATATGTCCCAGGCTGCAAAACGCTCCCCCACCCTCTCTTAAGAACCACTGTTTTAGAGGAAGGGACTTTAACCTCCTTTTACTAAACTAAGCAACTATTGTGAAGATGTCATTGTTCTATACCTTTTCCACCCCCACTGACCAGAAGTCCCATCAATGAATTAACAAACTGGTATTTGGTTTTCTTTTCTTTATACCTCAAAATTCCAGATTCATTATATTGTGAAACTGTAATATTCCCTTAATCTTTCTACTTAGACCACCAGTGCCCTCCTGGGATCCTGTCTTTCACCCTCAAAATCTGTGACTCACAATAAATTAAGCACATTTTTCCATGGATTGCTGCCAGTTAAGAGATTACTGGTTAAGAAACTCGAGGCTAAGAGACTTACCTAAGCCACGGAGGGTATCAATGTGCAAACGGGATTTAGAACTGTTTTTCATCTATAACACCTGAGCTCAGAACAAGAGTGGCTTTAAATGGGACATTACTCTGCCCTGCAAACCTATGTTTTGCAAAACATGTTTATCTTATACATGAAAGAGATGCACACAGTTTAAAAATATCTAAATACACGTGCACTTAATTCAAAACGGTGTTGTGCATGACGAATGGCGCATTAGTAAGCCGTAGTCTGACACCCCTCTATTCCAGAATGTGAAGAGCAAAGCTTTAGTCAAGAGACTCTGTCCCTTCTCCTCTCCAGACAAAGCACATCTGAGACCAAGGTCTGAATGGGTAAGTTCTCTTTGTTTCAATGTAAAAGTGTATAGAGTAAAACATTTAAAACTTCTCATTTCAAAAGGTTTCAACATTTTGCCATTTTTATATTCTAAGACTCTCAAATATCAGGTTTTTCCTTTGAACTATTAATTGTACATAACAGAAACTTAAGCTCATCAATTAATAAAGCAATAGAGTAATTCTATTCTACCATATACAGTCAGCATCAAGATAAAGAAACAAATCCCAGCTCCTCATTAAACCTACGAGATGTAACTGGCCTGAGGATCTAAGCTGCCTCTAGACCAGGGTCTGGCAAACTACAGCCATATGCCAAAGTCACACCCTCCTCCCCTACTACCTGTTTTTATAAATAAAGTTTTATTGGAACACAGCTCTGCTTGTTTACATATTATCTATGGTTGCCCTCACATTCTAACAGCAGAGTTGAAGAGCAGCAAAAAGAGACCAAATGGTCCATGAAGCCTAAAAAGTTTACTGTCTAGCCCTTTATAGAACAAGTGTGCTGACTCCTGGTCTAGCAGTGTCCAGTCTAGCATCATCCAGTCTAGTCTAGTCTAAGCACTAAACAGCAAAATGCCTTCATAATGTGTAGCATCAGAATCATTCACAAAGAGGAGCTGGCCAGGTGGCATGGTGGTTAAGTTTGAGCGCTCCAATTCGGCAGCCCCGTGTTCACTGGTTTAGATCACAGGTATGGATGTACGCGCTGCTTATCAAGCCCTGCTGCGGCAGGTGTCCCACATATAAAATAGAGCAAGATGGGCACAGATGTTAGCTCAGGGCCGCTCTTCCTCAGCTAAAAGTAGAGGATTGGCGGCGGATGTTAGCTCAGGGCTAATCTTCCTCAAGAAAAAAAATTAATTAAAATAAAATAAAATAAAAAAGAATGATTCACAAAGAGACTCACCACTTCATCATCTCTAATACCCAAACATTAGAAATAACCTATATCCCCCATAATATGGGACTGAATAAATTATTATTTATTAAATTACTCTTAAGCTGTTAAAATAATTTATAATATTTATATTTATATGGTGACACAGTAAATAAAGAGGAAGCTATAAAAATAGTAGATGTAGTATTGTCACATTTGGTAAATATCTACTAAGTGAATATTAATAGATATATAGAGACAAAATATTGGGTGGTGAGATTATCAGTGATTTTTTGATCCTTTTCTGCCTGTCTGTATTTTCTAAAATGAACTTATTTCTTCTGTATAAACACGATATAAAGTTACTTAATAGAATTTGCATTTTTTAAGATTCTTATTTAATTTTAATAATTTAATATTAAGGCTACTTATATTATTGCCTTTTGCCACTAGGATAATATATTACTGAAATCATTTTTCTTCCAGGTTCCACATCGAATCAGTTCTTCAGGTTACACCAAGTACCCCAAGTACTTAGAGCACTTTGTACTATGGCTGAGGTGAGAAACGAGCGACTGTGGGGGACAAGGAGGAAGGGTAGCCTGCTCAACATGCCGCCAGGATGGAGACAGTGTCTGTGCTTCTTGTCTTCCTCATCAGATTCCATCGTTTAGGAGGAGAGAGAGTTGAAGGAAGAGGATTTGGGGCCCCGCCCCTAATGCTCTATCCCCTATAAACCTCAGTTTATTTAGTGCTCAATGTACCCATGATTATACAGTGTAAAACAACACAAAATAAGACTACTTTATTTTCAAAGCTGTATAACTTTTACAGAACATCTCGTCTACCAGAAAGATGAAGGTGTTAAGAGTTCATAGCTACTTTCTTTCTTTCACTCTGCCTAGTGTCAAAGTGCACTGTTTTTCTCTATGTTCTCATCCAAACAACTGCCCTTTATAGTCTTCTGTTGCCTCTGTACCTGAGGAAGACTTGAGAACAGATGTGGTTTCTACTAGGGAGAAGGACACCCAGCAACAACACCATGCCTGCTGACGTCCACCCACAAACAGCAGAGCTGAGGTATGAAACACGTACTTTATTTCTTTAATAAGTTATAAATCTTATTACGGCATTTATAATTATGTTCACTGTGTTAACAGATGAAAAATGATGGTAGAGTTTACCATAGAAATTCTTGGTAGATTAGCTATCCTTCATCCTGTACAGGATAATACATTTCTAGGTATAATTATGTTAGGTTCACAAATACATTTCCAGCATACATATAATTTGTGTTACCTGACATATTCCAGAAGTAAATTCCTACACAATTTGCAGACTATACTCAACTCTGTGTCCTTTAACAAAAGCCCTGTGGGATTTTTACTTGTCAATCATACCTCAACAAAGCTGGAAAATAAATAATAACTTAAAAATCTGTAAAAATTCAAAAAAAATCTTAAAAGTCCTATGGGGATGAAATCTGTAGTTTAACAGCTATTGAAAGGAAGCCAAGAAAATAACAACACTCCTTACATACTGGGTTTTCCCAGCAACGTTCCTCCTAAGTCACATGTACCCACTGGTATTTGCATCAAAAAAGAGAAAATCCTTATCAGCATCTAAAATTGGATTCATACCTTTCCCCAGGTTGAACTTGCGGTTTGGGGCTTCTGGCACGTTGGGCTGTTTCTGACGCTCCTGCCGCTGTGGCTGCATTCAACTGGCACCTCCACGGCTGACGGGCCCTTGAGCTGCCATGCACTACTGTGACAAAATTAAAGTGGCAGAATGAAATCTAGCTGGAAAGTAATTTCTTTTGAAGAGGTCCTCAGAGCACAATTCCTGGATTTAAAATTTAAAGAAATGCTACAGCAGAGGTGATTTTCCCAGCATTTCTCTGCAGGCAGGTGAAGGCCCTTAAGGGAATGTGGTGGCGCCCCCTAGGATGACTTATCAGGACCTGCAGAGAGCCTTTTTAGAAACAACACACCTTCTTTCCCCGCTTTGGTCATAAACTTTGATATGATCCCTCATGAGAATCACTGCACGTTATGAAAGTTACTGATGCAAACTGTATGCAAGCATGCAGGCTGCATGCTGCTCATATGAAAGGTGAGAAGCCTACAGACAAGGTTAAGAACCAGATTTAACGCGTGGAAACTGGGTCAGTTTTCAACCAGTTGCATAGGTCCCTGGCTACCTACAAGCCTTCTCCAATAAAGCACCAGTGCTGAGAACCCCAGGACTGACCCTGGACTCTGACAAGTATGTGGCCTGCATAGCTAAGGATTCATGGAACCCTAGAGTCCATACACTACATTCCTGACCAGGCTGCCAGTACTCAGGACCCCAGAATTCCTTGCTCCAAAGCCCCATCCCCACCTCCAGGGTCTGCAGAGGCCTTTTTCCTGGGTCCATCCATCTGAAGGCTCATCATGCTATCAGTGTAAGCAACTCTTGACCTGAAGGGTAGCCAAGAGGTGGCTGTCTGCAGGGTCAAGAATGGAGCTTGAACATACAGACTGGGGTGTCCACACATGTGTATGGACAACTCTTCACAATGCGGGACAGAGCCAGCGGTGGGAAGAGAAGCAGGGAAGCCTGCAGCCCAGAGGCAACTCTCTGAAGGCCTCCACATTCCTGCAGGCACTCAGAAGAGTTTGAGAGCTCACCATTCCAGGTCATTATGAAGGTCTGTTTGTCAGTGTAAGATAAGAGAATATATTTCAGTTTGCTAGCTTACTATTCCATGTATGCTATATGGGTCTCCATTTGAACTCTTGTCCGGGGCTGCACAAGAGTTAGTGGTGGGCTTGGAGAACCCACCTGAATTGAGGAATCCATGGGCCATACTCAGTTGTAGCCCAACACTGTACACATGACCTCCCTTCCTCATTCTCAGACTAACAGGCTCAAAACCAGCTCAAGATCAGTCAGCTTCCCTCCTCCTACTTGTGAGTCAAAGGGGTCCTTTGACGGGAGGAACTTGGCTGTGGACCAGAAGCTCTGACTCTGAATCCAGCTCTGCCACTTACTAGTAAAGTGACTGGGGCCAGGTTATAATCTCTCTGAGCCTTAGTTTCCCCAGCTGTAAAATGATGACACCTTGCTATCAGGATCCTTGTGAGGATCACAGCAGATAAGACCAGAGAAGCATTCTGCACAGTGTCTGCCACATGATTAGTGCTGGCATTAATCATTTATAAGTTTCATTTCTAAGTGTCTAGAGCATAGCGACTACACCTGCTCTGATTTTTATCACCAAGCATGTCTATGAAATACAGGAGAACGGTATCTCCAGGCAACTTAGATTTCCAACTATCTAGATTGTGCACATTCCCAACAGAGCCAATTACATGACCTTGTGCTGAATAATCCTTATCAATTCAAAGTGCAAGTGCAAAGATTGACATATCAAATGAAGTCTCAAACCAACTCACATCTCCTTATTTTGGACAAGTTCAATTCTGAACTGCATGATGAGATTTAACCAGGTTCTCAATCACGTCGCAATGCTGCCAGCAATTCCTTATAGGAATGAGATTATATCAGATTCCATGGGGTATGAGAACAGAACTTTGGCATTCCATAATTTGACTGCTGGTTATAAAATAAGATTTCCTCTTGTGAACCTTAAAAAAGGGGTCGGGGAAAATACGGGTGAGACTAGAGTCTCCAAGTAGTACATTAGTATTTCCTAGTACAATTTGGGAGCTGGGAGCTTTTCGATCTGCCGAACTATTGCCATGCCCTCCAGTCACAAAATTCTCTTCTCTGTGGTTGAACAAATCCTCAGAGGAGGGGGATGCTGCTAATAATGGATCCTTTCCGTTCAGGATTTAGGGTTAATACATCCACCTCTCAAGGACTTCTCTAAAACACACCTCTCCCCTAGTGATCTGAAGGTTGTAGAGAAACAATGAGTGTCTTCTGCCAAAAGATTAGTGTTCAACTAGCTGACGGAATTTAAAGTAATCATTCAAACAAAGGATCAACTCCTGAATATACTCAGCTCACAGCTGAAGAGAAATCCAAAGGCAGAGGTAGCATTGTGTGGTTTAGAGTATGTGTTCTGGAGCCAGAGAGATCTAAGCAGAAATCCCAGATAAGACCAACACGCTGTGTGGCAGAGCCTGGGCAACTCCCTGAGCCACTCCTAGTCTCATTTTCTCATCTGTAAAAGAGTGATAAGGCCATCATTGCAGGGCTGTTGTGAAGATTAGAAAAAAATCTACATCCAGCCCCAAGAACAGTGCTCGGCGCACTACATGTGGTTAAACAGGAGGTAAGAATACTTGCCCACTTATGAACTAAGACCGGGTATTTCTAACCCTACTGTTGACATGAACAACCGGTCTACCTTTGAAAAGCCCACAAACAATGAAAGCTACAAAAATGAGGGATCTGCAGAAGAAAAGATGATGTAAGAAATGAAACTTCACCAATCCTGGACAACCCCAATAAGTGAATCATTCAAAAGAATACCTGTGACTTACGAAGTTCACAGCTATCAACTGGTTCTCCAAAACCAAATTATTTAGTATTTTGGATATTTTGGGGTAGGGCAGGGGAGGGCAGAAAGCAAGGTACACAAGTACGTAAATATGATAAAGCCCTTTTCTATCACATAGAAGATGAAGATTACTTCAAAAGGTACTTGGGGGAGGAGGCTTTAAAAAAAGAATTGTTATTTTCTGGTATGGAGCCAAAATGTCCTACTGTCTTCTACTTAAACACTGATACTCTTTCTTATTATTCTAGAATTTTTTTTTCTAATTACAAAAAACCATGTACGCCCAGTGTAGAAAATTTGGAAAGAAAAACAATTCATTTTTCTAGCAACTTTCTAATAAAAAAATATATACATATAGTATATAGCCCACTCTAGGAAGCGTCTCATTAATTCTGTAATATGCTAAAATTGTAGAGTGTAAAACTTTGCTTTCCTTTTACTTTCAGAATTCATTTGCAGAAATACTACTTAATTTTTTCTAACCCAAATAATGCTCATCCTTTCATATCAAACATGATTACAGTCTTATAACTACATCTTAAAATCAGAGTCCATAATACAACTGGATTTCAAATCTACCTCTGTTATGGTTTCTGAATCCTTCCACTTAAGTTATTTATAACCTGGACAGCCAATCATTTAAAGTTTCTCATATTGTTCCATGACCTCAAATCTAGAGCCTGTCAGACTTTGCCACAGAAGGGTCGATGAAAGAAAAGATCAATTTGATCCTTCTTTCAGCCCCATTACGGGCTCTGTGCTTCCCTTTTTGAGAGACAATGCCTTTGGTCTCCTAGTGCCCTTAGTGACCTGATCCTCAATGTACACTGGGTACTTATTATTTTCCTAACAAAAGTACCTGTAATAAGATATGGAGGTTCAGAGTGGATTCTCTCCACCCCCTCTCAGTAGGTGCCAGACTGATGACTTAGAGAACTTCTTAGAAAAATAAGTCAGGTCTGTGTCCAGTCACTGTTCAAATGCATTAATTAAGCATCTTCGTATGTGGCAGCCTTTTCCATAATATCTTAAGATTTTGAGGTCCTGACGTATCTACTGCGTTCCAGGCACTGATACAGGCTTTACCTGGATCCAGTTCATTTTCATGGCAAGCCTATGAGGTATTACCTTTCTCCTTTTACGTTTACCAAAGCTCAAGGCAGGTTGAGTACCTTGCTCAAAGGGTCAGTTAGGAAGGCTGCAGGCTAGTGTCCCAAACAGGTGTGTCTGACCCAGGGTCCCATCAGCTCCTCCTGTGGACACAACTTACATCCCCGGTTTGCATCAGAAACGTGTGGGGTTGTCAATGGGTCTTATTTGTTCTCCACGCAGCTCTAGAAAACACTAGCCCAGGCTGCCCCGGGGTGGGTTCTGAAGCCAAGAGCAAGTGAACACTGGCTGATGCCAGGGACTAAGGCAGAGCAGCAGTGGGCACAGTGAAACCCCCAACACCAGGGAGGGAATCCCAGGGCAGATGCCCATGGCGATGGAGGTGATGCTGTCTTCGTGACGGTCCCCTCTGTGGCAGGCCCTTAACACACCCTCCCTCCCGTACTCCTCACGCCAATCCTGTGACTATCATTATTCTGGTTGTACAGATGCGAACCAAGGCTCTGAGTTCAGCCACTGCTCGCAGCCACCCAGCTGACGGAAGGGACTCGGGGACCCCTCCTGGCGGCCTCCCAGGGCCCTCGGGTCACCCACGTTCCCCCTCTCGCCCCTCCCAGGAGAAGGCCCCTCGCCCCTTCGAGCGCAGCTTCCTGCGCAGCCCACCGCCAGTCCCGAAAGGCCCCAGGCCAGGGGGGCCCGGCGCGAGCCGCCCAGTGTCCCCGCCGTCGCAGGGACCCGGGCCTCGGCGGCGGCCGCGACACCTCCACTTACGTCGATCGCGGAGGAGGGCGCCCACAGACCGCAGGGCCGCAGCCATGTCGGTGCCGACCGAAATCATTCCCCGGGCAGCCGCTGCCCGGGAGCTGGGTTCCTCCCGCGGCACCGCGCTCAGCAGCGGGCCCCGCCACCGCCGCGCCGCACAGCACCTAACCGCCAACCCACGCCGCGTTATCTCGCGTGGCCGCGCCCTGCGCCCTCGCGGCGCGCCCGCTGATTCGCCGCCGGGCCTCGGGGCGGGGCCAGGCAAAGGCACGCTTCCCGCGGGGAGCCCGCCCCCATGCGGGGCCGCCCCCAGGGCGAGAAAGGGTGGGGGCTGCGCTAGCCGCCTCTCTGCACCGGCGCCGCGGTTGGGTGTCTGAAGACTTCCGGACCCCTGGTCGCCCTGGACGATGGCCCGCCTTGCGTGTGCCACCTTGACCATGGGAGGAACCGCGGCCACAACGCGGCAAAGGACTTTCCAGACATTTCCATTACTATTACTTATGGGGATGCTTTTGCCTTAGTTGTCCAATTTGCTTGCCTAGTTAACGGCACAAATGTGCCGACCATGTTTTGTTTTCAGAATAGGAAAAGGAACTATTTTGTATTAGACACTCATGACATAATTACTCAGTTTCTCTGGAGTATCTCTGTGTAGCGGAGTGTGACAGGTGGGACCAGAAAGCAAGCATTGTACTGTCAACATGAGAACTTTAGGAAAGCGAAGGCCAGTCCGGCAAATGCGTTTTTGGAGGGATGGTATGGTGAGGTTTGTCAGTATCCGTGTCTGTGCACCTTCACGGGGTACCCGCCTGCCCCAACCACGCACGCGGAACTTCCCTCATTTCAGGCCGTTCCTACATCCTCACTCCTCCCCCCGCCACCCTGCCCATAAGTTCAGTGCATGAGTATAAGGCCAACCCTTGGGACAGAAGGGTCTCAGGCATCATTCATTCATTGCGCATGTATTGAGCACCTACTGTGTGCACTGGAAAAACAGTCAACAGAGCAGACTGAGCTTATGTACATGTAAGCAGAAGGGGCTTACATGGAGGTTGGGGGAGAGACAGAATAGAATCACGATATGTAGTATTTTGACTGGTGATTCGCTTTAGAAAGAAGAATGAACTGATGTAAGGGAGATGGGGGAGGGGACGCCAATGTAATTTGAAATAGGGGACTCAGAGAAGTGCTGACTGACATTTGGGCAAAGGCCTGAAGGAAGTAAGGGGGCAAGCTGTGTGGAACATTCCAGAAGATGGAGTCTAGATTGAATTGAATACTTGTTTTCTGTAGCTAAAATGAGTGCTCTTGACTGAGTTTACTTACTATTAAAGTTAGTCCTTCGTATGGTTATAAGCCCAATATCAAATGTCAAATTAAATGGATTGCCTTCCATATTACAGACATGATGTTCAAATCCACGCAGGAACTATTCCCTGAGAAATGGACGGTGAAACGTGCTCCAAGTATCAAACTGATTTTCTGTACATTTTGCTAACTCTCCACTCTCATAAGGAAAATTACATTAGTTTAATTTGCCCTTTAAAGAGGTGATCTTAATAAATAATACATTTCTCTACGTAAAAGCTAAACCCATTTCTTTTAAATAAACTACACAAAAAGGCTCCACATTTTGAAACATGCTGGAAAAACTGTGGACAAGACCAGAGAACCAGAAAAGGCCAAGGGTTTTAGATGTCTGAGCAGCGTGGGCTCTTCTCAGCTACCCCTGGAGGCTCTGGATAAGTCATCCCTAATCATGGGGGCTGTACCCTTCCTGTGGCGGGGAGATAACCGGGATCTTCTGCCCCTCCCAGGGACACTGATGATTAGTGACGAGGCACAAAGGTCCCAAATGTCACGTAATTGACAGTTGGGATGAGTTAAATTTGTATCTGACCAGAAAAGATAAAGGAACCAGCAAAACCTGCTTTACTAACTATATCAACGTAATAGCATTTTTAGAAATGAGTTGGCACCATTTCACCCATTTTATTCACATCTTGTACTTTCATTTTTACTTTTAAAAAACTCATTCAAGATTCCTCATATATAAAACCTCCTGACGCACATATAAAGACTCACAAATTATAAACGAAAACAAGCTTCGTTATTGTTTCCCCAACAGAGAGTGCCATAACACTTCCCATTTCTAATCTGTGGCTTCTTTCTTACAAACATCAAATAAAACAGCTTTCTGACGAGTAAATTTTTATGTTCTTATGAAATGAAAGGAGATAAAATGTGCTTTATGTCAGTTCTTTTCAAAACTGATAGAAAATCCTTAACCCAGAAATTGTGAACTCTGAATATGGGTTTACTGAGAAAAGCAGGAAAGCTCTTGACAGGCTAAAAGAAACTTGCAAAACTCTATGAGATTTTTATATATATATATATATGCCCAGGTTTGTATATGTGTATGTGTTGTATATGTATATATACATATTTATATATGTATATGAGATTTATATATATATATACACACCAAGATATGTATATGTATTTATACATATATACCAGATACGTATATGTATGTGTGTGTGTATATATATATGCATATATATACATTTTCTTCGAGCTTCCATGTCCGTAACAAAATTGTATACCAATTCCCTTAGCAAACAGAAGGCCACAGGCACAGTCTCCCGGCCAAGCCGATAAGCGGCACCCTCCCCGTGAGAGAGAGGGTTTGTCTGAGCCCGGGTGACTTAATTACCGTGGGCAGACGGCAGACTTCCTTGACCTTCTCTGGGCTACAGGGACAGTTTTTTAGATTTCTTTTCACAGAAGGCCAGCCCTCCGAGGCCCCACTTCATGCAGGCAGGGGTCTGGCCCTCACTGCACTTTCCTCTCGGGGTGAGCATTCCAGGAGCTGGGTACAAGATTTTCACTTTGCGAAAATTCATGAAGTTGCATGCTTATGATGTAAGCCCTTTTCCATATGAATGTTATATTTCAATATAGCATTTTTTTATGCCCCTCAGAGCCTTTATCTGGGTTCAACTCTTGCTCTAACCCCCATCCCTAACCTAGTGAATCTGGCTTTGAGACCCTCTGACCTCCCTCCCCGCTAATTCTGATGCCTAGAGATATTCTTTTCACCCTCAGCTAAGATTTGGCGGGGGTGGGGAGGGATGGGGACAGGAGGATTATTATATTTGTCCAGTAAATATACTTGTTTGTAGTGGGGAAGAGGTGAGCAGAAGTTTCCCTGATAAAAATGAGTAATGCTTTCAGGCCGAGTGGAAGAAGGAATGCTTTTTCATCAAAGTGGTGTCAGAACTTACAAGAAGAGCACGACTGGAATATACTGAATGTGGGTGGGCACTATGGAGGCACAAGAGCACATGGCATCAGGACTAATGCATCCACTTGGCCACCGCACAGGGTACAGAAGGAGATGAAGCTGGGGAGAGAAGGCTGAGGGCCAAGCCTGAGAGTGCTAAGGACTTGGACCTTTGTTGGTAAGCTAAGGGATCACTGATAGTCATGACAGTCACTGAGAAGAGCGGCCTGTTCAGGGCTGTGCTCTGAGGAAAATAGTTGAGTAAGCCACGTGTGGGCCCGTGTGTACGAGAGGTGAGGCGGGAAGAGCAGATAGGAGTCAGTGGCCACAGTCACAGAAGAGGTGTTGAGAGGATTGAGCACGGGAAGTGAGGAAAGAGAGGACACCAACAGGCTGTTAATGGCACGCTGGAGGACGGAGGGAGGGCAGAATCAGGTAACTCCAAGGCCTCCAGCCTTGGCAAGGCCAAAAAAAAGAAACATGTTAGTCAGCAAGACAGCTGGTTTGAGACAAAGATAAGGGTACTTTTTTTATTGTGGTTGTTTTCATACTGTTTTGTTTGTTTTTACCTATGTTTTATGTTGCAGGAAGGACAAACAGGTACGGCTATCCAACAGGAAGTTTTACTGGTCATCTACATAGAAATAAGTGTTGAAACTAACTATTCATCCATTCATCATTTTTTTTTTAAGGAAGTTTAGCCCTACGCCAACATCTGCTGCCAATCCTCCTCCTTTTTTTTTTTTTTGCTGAGGAAGATTGGCCCTGAGCTAACATCTGTACCCACCTTCCTCTATTTTATATGTGAGACGCTTGCCACAGCATGGCTTGAAAAGTGGTGCTAGGTCCGCACCCAGGATCTGAACTGGCGAACCCCAGGCCACTGAAGTGGCGCAGGAGAACTTAACTGCTACACCACTGGGCCAGCCCCTCATTCATCATTTTTTTACAAAACAATTTACAGAGAATTCATCACTCTCCTTGCTAATTTGTCCTTCCTAACAGCTAGTAATTGAGCATTTCTTTCCTTTTGCTTATGTCTACTCCCTTTTGTCTTCAAATACAGAGTAAAGACTTCTGGGTAAAGATGGGGGCTTGAATATATGTATATAATTTCACTCTCTCCCCAAAACCCCACTAAAATGTCAACAGAGGTCTTGTTGGTAGTGGTGTTTTGTTTGTTTTCAAGCACAAACCTAACAGGATGGGGGAAAAAAGGGAACCACAGCAACAGAATTTTGGAAACTGGAAGGCAGGTGGATAAATGCTCAATGATTGAGCAGACCCAAGAAAACTAAATCCTAAGCTGGCCATCCTAAAATGAGAACCATCCAGATTTACACAACCGAATTCCTAGGCAGTTCAGGATTGGCAGCACCAGGTACTTCTGGCAACGGGATGAAAAAGAGAGATGCTAGAATGAGATGGATTCAAGTGGTTCAAGTCTGTTCAAGTGGTCGGACTACCCAGATTCCCCCACTGCAGCAGGCAACTGCCCCCACCCACCCAGCAGCCAACTGGAGGTTTGGTTTCTGGAGAGGGAATGGGGGCTCTGGACTGAAGATACCAGGCACATTTGAGAGCAGGGGCACCACCGAAAAGAGCAGAGTTTGGGCAACTACACTTATTGAAGGCACAGAGACCCAGCCCTCTCCACCTGTTTCCCCCACAGGAGACAGAAAGAGTCCGGAATTCAATCAGCCCAAAAGGAAAGACCTAAGGATACTGACACAGGGACTCCCTCACTCAACAGCCCAGGCAGCTGACCCTACATGGGGCTCACATCTCCCACCCACACACTTAGGGCATTTTAATCCCTATTCAGAATTCCCAGCAGATAACTAAGCGCCACTTGACATCTGAGGAAAGCCTTGTCAAAATTGACTATAGTGGAGCCATTTTAAATGGAGTC